GAACCAGCCTGAGCGAGTGCAAGTAGCATTTGGACAATGCTGTGGCACATGGTGTGACTTGGGGTGTCCTGTGCAGGGCCAAGAGTTGGACTTCATGATCCTGACAGGTCCCTTCCAGCTCAGCATGATTCTGGGCAAGAAATAAACAAAGCAAAACAATATGGAGACACAAAGAAAAAGTTCCTGTGAAAGAAATTCTTGAAAGATGTTGTTATTGCCTGGGGATCACAGGAATTCTAAAGCATATGAAACTACAAATGTATGGCACATAGAAAGGCTACTGACTAATAACTACAGACTCCCAAAAACTTTATATGTATCCCTATGACAAGAGAACACATAGATTTTTACATGCTATTCCTGTGAACACAGTCTGATATTGCTATGTAAGATGCTTGTGTGGACTAAAATGGAGCAAAGTATCCATTCATGGTACTTTTATTTAATGTACAAGCAAGAGAATAGAGAAAACATTGGTCATTTTAGCATACAAATAGGTTAAATGCTTCATTAAAAGCCACTGCTTTTCACTTTAGGGTGAATAATCAAGTGTCACAAGCCTCTTTATTTATTTGATTCATATTTATTCATAGCTACAGCTAAAAATGCTCGCAAGTGTAGGTAGAGAAATACTTATCTGTGAGGAGCAAGAGTATCTTGTGGCTTGCTGAGTCCATTTGCATCCAGTTTTATTATCTATAATGGAAAAATGCTAAAAATTCTGAAATTGTTCTGTGAAGAACTATAGAAATTAATGGAACACTGAAAAGCAGATTATAACTGAGATCCCAGACTTACTCAGTTCCAGTTTATCAAAGATTCTTCAGTCAGAGGGAAACATAAGCATCAACTAAAAGAGAAGATACAATACAACAGAGCACTTAGACATAGCAGACAAAGGCTAGGAGAATCAAAAGGGATAAAAGCTGTAGCTTGGCAAATTTGATACAGTTGTCTAAGAACTAGTTTTACAGACTGGACATTATTTGAGGAGAGAGATGCTTCAGCAATCACAGACAAATAAAGTGAATTTGCAGGGACCATAACATTTAAAATCAGATTAACTGTAATAACAATAACTCTAACCTTTAAAATTCTGAGTAAAAATTTTTTTTTTTTAATTTAGAGTCTTTCATCCGAGGGACTTTAAGTGCTTAACAAACACTGACTAATCCCCTCAACACTTGTGAAAAGTAGGTAATTATTACTGGAGCTGCTTTTCAGATATGTAAGCTGTGAATCTGTAAAGTTAACGGATTTGTCAAAGATTATGGAAGAAGCAAATATCAGATACGGACTGCTGGAAAATTTAGGTTGTAAGAACTCATAACTATAGAACTGTGTTATATTCTGGATAGAACAGTTGATTTTTAGCAGTCAGGTGGTGTTAACTAAGTATTTGCAATGGCAAAGAAAGAGATCTGAACAGATGAGGTAAGAGATTTTAGTGCTGATCAGTGAAGCTGGGAGGTTATTGAAAAAATACCAGGGAGAGGATAAATTTTATCTAATAAAACCAAAACCAGCTAATGATATTAATAAAGTTGGGAGTGCAGTGCTTTTTCTTTGTCTAAAACGATGGTGGAAGATGCTTAAAAATATGTTAAAAGGCACTGTTTATTGAAACTACTTGCCACAGACAGCATGCTCTGAGTTTCCACTCGCTATCTGATTAAATACAGCTTTGTGCTGCCTGGTATCAGCATGCAGGGTGCCCATAAATCCTGGCCTGGATTATGTTACATTAAACTTGGCAAAATTCTGATTTCACTGTAAGCAGTAGTAAAATTCTTTCAGACTTCAGTCTTAATCCTGGTGCAGTTCCTAATGAAGAGTGTTTTCGGTACTGCTGGAAAAGGCATTATTCCATGATATTAATTTTTCTTAATGGGGTGGCTCTTACAGAAATGATGATGCTGTTAGGCAAGTCTTGTTGACTATTCAGGAATGGCTGAGGAAAGCATACAAAAAGGAACCATAGCTTTCAGAACTGCAACACCATGGAGTTGTATCTGTGGACAACTACCTGAGCTAGTAGTAATCTTCAATCCACAGCCAACCATAACTTCAGGGACTTACAGAAAAGTTTCAGCTACAGCTGTAAAGCAGATGCTTCTAGAGAAGTACTGAACTCAAATGCCTCAGGCCTCCCAGTAAAAAAGAAGACAAAATTATTCTCTACCTCTCTTTCTAAAAGACACTGAGATGCTGACTATCTAAACATGGCCCAAATTTTTCCCTTGTTTACAGCCAATTATATTTTCCATGTATTCTTCTGCAGGCTGAGCAAGATATATCTTGATACCTGCAGAATGCAACAAACCAAATAATTTTTTTGTATATTTTGTAGTGAAATTTGCAAGCTTCTGCAATACTTTTATTTTTCTTTCTCTTAGCTGTAAATAAAAGAAAATTATGCTAGAAGATCTGGCACAGTATTCTGAGATTTCATGCCATTGAATTGCATATTGCAGATACTCTGGTTGGTTTTGTTATGTTTCTTACTCACTGTGGGTGAAATCCAGATCTCACTGAAGTCCATGAAGAATTTTTTGTCCATCTTCTTAAGCAGACCAAATAAAAAACTCGAAATGTAAAAGGTCTAGGCCCATACATGTCTGAGAAGTTATTGGCAAGCAAAGCTGAATACTTTCAAACAATTGTTATGCATATGCAGTACAAAGAATAGTATATTGTGTATGTGGAAACTTTGTGCAAGTCTGAGACCTTTACTGCTTCTGTGTCTTTTGATGTTAAACTGCCACTTCTTTTAAAACGCATGCTAGCAAATTACAGCCAGCTCCTATAAATCAACAAAAAGTAACAAAAGCAATGAGCAGCTAGAGAGTATCAGAGTAATATGAGTGCAGCAATACCTGACAAATGTAACCTGACTTGCTTTTTAAATGCAGTTTCTTAAATGAGTATAAGAAAAAAGATAAATACAGTAGATGAGGAAGAGGGGAAAGGACAGTAGAAGCATTTTGGGGAAACAATACAACAAAGCATCTCTTTTTTTCAGTTCTTGAAAGCGCTGACATGCAGGGGACTGCTCTTCACCAACCTTTTTTCTTTTTAAATGCTTCCACATAGCTTTAATATATTCCATGAACTGACAAATAGATGATACTTTGAAGGGATTATCTGACTGCTGCAAAACAAACTAGATCGACTGCAAACTACCCCCAAAACTTAGTGAACTTATTATTAGCTCCTTTCCAACAAAAAAAGGCAATATAGTCAAAATTAAGTAGTCTTTCTTTGAAAATCGTAGTTATTTTGACAAAAAGTACTGTCAAAGCAACAAACATTAATGCCACAAACTGTAGATCATTCACTTTCATGTAGGGTTTATGAGGCTCTTGTGAGAATACTTCATAGTTAAAGTATGTCTTCCCTTGAGTACCATGTGAGCATTTAATTTTTGTTTTGGCACTGGGCCCATTGTGTTTATGAGGTTCTTTAGAGAAGTAGAATTGATGACCACAAGAGAAAAATTGAGAGTTATTTATTTTGAATCATTATTATAACCTTTCAAGGTTTTCAGGACCAAAAAAAAAAAAAAAGCTCTTTTAAGGAGATAGATAGACAGATAGATAGATAGATAGACAGATAAGGATTTTGTTGCAAAAAAGCTTTAGAGGTCTACATTTGGTCTGACAATATAAATAGTCATATCAGGTTTTATGCTATTGAGCTATTTATTGTGCTATAATGATATCCTTTGCTACTTTGCCAGTTACACTAAATACCACGTATTACGCTTTCTTGATCTACAGTATTTTTGTTGGCAAGGATAAGTTTGCAGGTAAAACTTCAACTCAATTGAATAGTCTCTGATTTTTCTCATAAGCTTTTCCATTACCAGCAAAAATTAATCATACCTTTTATTAATCTTCATTTATTGTCTATCACATATATAAATTTACACTACAGATATAAGAATCCCTTAAGTTATAAAGCCTATGCGATGCAGCAGGTACAACTCATGCAAAAGAAACCATGCTATGTCAGATCTGCATGATTTTGGCAAGATTGTGTTAAGTGTCTTCCTTACAGCTCTTCTTGTAAGTGACTTGTAAATCACTCTTTATGACAATTTGCATGGATTTTGGCCACAAACATGTTTTATAGCAACACACTAATTTTCTTTTGACGTGTGGAAGATTTATCCACTCTAGGTCTAATACTATTGTATTAATTTCTGTAAAATTCTAAACATCCTTTACAGCACCAAAGATAAGGAAAAATGAATATGCTCTGTGTGACAGTCTCACTCAGCACCTTGCAGGAGCAGGATGTTTTACTCAGTGCTGTGATACAGCAGTTGCAACCTTAGTGGTACACTCTGAACAAAGAACATCTACTCTGCAGCTAACTAGGTCATGTAGACAAACTCAGAATTTAACCTCAGGGTTCTGTTAAATGGGAATATGTGGCAATAAAATCAAGTAGCAAATTCCTTCTGATAAAGTTCTGATATTCTATTACATGTCAAAGGAGGATCAAACCAATCAAATCCTAGGTAACTTAGCAATAAAAAAAATCCACTCTGACTATTGACCTCAGTCCTCAGATTGCTACATTGTGATTTGATTTGCCCCAGGGTTTTTCCCCTTTTCCCTTTCTTTCCCCTCTGAAGTAAAGTTTAATAGTTACACAAAATTAATCATTATTCCTATTTCTTGGCAGGGAAGATGCAGAAACATTTGGACAGCAGAAAACATCAATTGTCACTCAAAGTGAAAAACTTTTTACTCTTTTAAGTGATTTAATTGGCAGCCTTTAGATAATGTGATTTTCCATTCTGTTTCTACCATATGCCTGTTGACAAAAGGATTTCAGAAGTGTAACACAATTATTGTTTGTTTTCTTTTGTTTATGCTGAAATGCTAAATTATCTAAGAATACACAGAGGATTTTATAAGATATTAATAATCCCACATAATTAAGAAGTCTTCTAATGAATTCTTTTCATGATCTTATTTCTACCCTTTTAGGATTAATCTCTAGTCCTTCAATTCGTGATTGCAGCATTTTCCTTCAACAGTTGTAAGATAGTCCTACATTTCAGAACTGTATTTCAGTTATCTTGTAGCTGGATTCCACTATCTTCTGCTTTCTTCCCTTTGAAATGGAATGTTGAAAAAACTAGTTTTGAGAACACCTTTCCAATGTCAAAGGTAAGATGCATTGTCGCTCCTCCCGGCTAGCTGATGACAGGAGGGGGAGGGGTGCGGCGGAAGATCCCCCCTTGAGCCCCATTGAATCCCAGCTACCAGTGAAGACGCAGTGTAAAACAAAGAGCAGCACATGGGTCCCGGGGTAACTTTATTTGATGGTAAAACTTCCCCTCTTATGCCTCCCGGGACCCTGAACAAGGGGCAGACAGGAGCTTATATACGGGGGGGCAGATGCCAAGGAGAGGATACAATGTTTAACAAGTCAGGAGAATTGGGAGTAAAAACAAGGCGGGAAATACAATGTATAAACCAATAAAGAATCCCAAGGCAGGAGAACGGTCTCAGTGAACTAATAAAGTTTGGAGAAATACAAAACTAACAGGGAAGTTTCTTGAAAGAAGGCAGGTTCAAAAAGAAACTGGCATCTAAGAAAAATTACGAAAGTTCTGGGAAAAGGGCAGAAACAAAAAGGAAAACAGCATAAGGAAACTACCAAATTACAAATCAAACAATAAACCTACTAATAAAAAACACACCACAACAATGTATGTCTTTGGAGTGCCTATGGCCAAGGTCCAAAATGAAGGACAGTAAAAACAAATGATCGCCAAAAAGGTGTGAAATTAATTTCTTAACTGTTCAAGTCTCCTGTAACTTCAATTAAAAAGACTAAGATTTTAATGAATAATTTTCATTAAGCAGAGAAGTCTGTGCAAAAGCTCATCTGAGATGAAACTTATTTTAAAAAATCACAATGAAGGAAGAGGGTTCATAAGTGCCAAAAGACTACTTTCTCTCATCTAAGTTTTTGATATTATGTCCAAGAAAATAAAATTCTCATATTTTCTCCTCTGACAGTACAATGCTATAGAAGGCTATGGCACAGCTGATGGTAAGGAGAATAATATTAACTTAGAACTGGCACAAAGCAAACAATGCAATTTAAACTGTTGCAATGTTTTCATAAATCCATTCTCCACTAGATCCACAGCACCTTCACTGACAGTGAGATTGCAACTGAAGTCTTGTTAAACAGTCCTAAAATATTTTAACCTTGTTGCTTTTCTGCATTTAGCTTTCCATGATGATTATCAGACTGGCAGTTGTCAAGCTGATGTCTGTTTTGTTGGCATAGATCACACAAGGCAGCTAATTCTGTTCTGTTCTTGTTTGGCTGAGTCTAATCTCCTGGAATTCAAGAGTCAGCCCAACTTAGTAAACCATGCAGTGGAAAAGGTTGTCTACAAAATCTACAACAAATGTGCTGTGTTAGTGGACCTCTCTGATTTAGGAATAAAGAAGGCTAAGATAATATCCTTTCCCTCATGACTGTTTTGAAAGTAGTCTGTTTTGCTCATTAATGTCTTTGTCTTTCTATTTCATGTTGGAATTCACACAAGTACAGGACTACAAATAACAGGTATACAGGCATGACTGTGACAGTTGCTATTTCAAAAACATTTAGGCCTCACTCTTCAAACTCTACTCTGCAAACTGTTCATAAATGCAGTTTCTAAAGGAAAGGGTTTATTTTCTCTCAGTTACATGAGTCTAAGAATAGGCTTTTTAATTAAAAGCATTGTTGAAGTCCAACAGCTAAAAACACTGCAAGGGTCTTCCACCCCACCTACAGTAAAAAAACTCTTCAGTGTTTCATCACTGAAACCTCGGAGATTTCTTTATTCCAGCTAAACCTTCCAAAGTGCATAGCTGCACACAGACTTAGCCAGAATTTGCTTGCTAATTAACTGCAGTAATATATATCAGTCTTGTTTCTGTTTGTTCTTTCAACTAGATTAGATTTTCTCCCCAGCACAAAGGACTTTGTTCCATGGCTGCAGTACTAGTGGAGCTGCTGCTGTACAAAGCAAATAGCATTGGGTGAGAAGCTGCACCAAACACTCACGGGGGTAACGTTTGTGCCGTGCTGACAGACGTCTTGGAGACCACCATCTGCTCAAGCCATGTGTCACCCACGGCACCCAGCAATGCCCTGTCAGGTCTGCTCCCCTGATGAGGAAAGCATCTCCTCTGCACAGAGCTCTCCAGCCTGTGACACATGCTGAGCGTCCCTTAGCAAAGGAGCTCTGAAGTTTCCTGAATGGAGATACTGTCTTGTGCCGTTCAACTACTTCTGTGTGTAAACAGCTCAGACTGTCTTTAGTCTATAAAACCCTTACTTTTGCAACATATCAGGGCAGTGATAGCCTCCAGTTCTAACTCAGTCCAGAATTGTTGCATGATCTGTCATAACCTACTCTGCAGCTCTGTTGTTGGGGGTTCTTTAAAGTTGATTCATTTTCACTAAGGTGAGTAATGTTAGTTAATGGGTGGTGCTGTGTGATGAAGGAACAGTGTCAAAGTCTAAGGCTTTGCTATGTACCGAAAGATCTGCACAAGCAAGCACAGGGTTTTGCAACAATAGGAACTGTTTATGATTTTACAGCTTATGATTCATATGTAAAATGAACAAGAATAATGGTTGCAGTTGCACAAACTTAAATTGAAAATTATCCTGAAAGTTGATTAAATTCTGAAAATTATTAAAGGGTATCTTGTCAATTTTTTTATTCTTGTAAAGTGTGCTATTAATAATAAAAATTAATTATCATGTTTACTGCATAGGGGTTTATGGCAATCAAGTACAGGATTTCCATCATGTTTCCGGGTGATAACCTGTGCCTTTATTTTCTAACTTGTTTTCCTTCACTTATCTGGACACAGACAAAAAAATACCCTAGCTGTCTATCCTATGGAACAAGGCTTAAATCAGCAACAAACAGAAGACAGCATGCCCATAAGCAAGATCAGTGATTTCTGCATTAGTCAATGCATCACTACAAAACTAAAGACCACATCAACCTGCGAGCACCTGTTTCTGGTCATGTTATTGTGAATTCAGTGTTTGGTTTTACATGCATGTAAACCTCTTTTAGTCTTCTGAGGATTTTGTTTTGTTTGTTATTTTTTTAAAACTCCTTCTGTCTGTTTTGAAAAGACTGCTTGAAAAGAGGGTTTCTAAACAAATGCTGAAGTTCTACACCACCACATGCAATTACTCAGTGCAGAGAAAGAATCCTGAAAGGCTAACTTTCATCACAAGGAGTCTGGAAAAATGCAGTCTCAGCATGTACATTTGAACAGCAAGCAACACAAAATATCATTTAAGAGTATCACAAGGTCAAACAGGATTAATATTTACTTTAGCTGGTTTGAGTCCTGCCCTGTCATCATAGGATGCTGAAATGGATGCTGAAATGAGAACCTGATCATGTAACATAATCTGTATAACCTGTATAACCTATCTGCTCAATACAGAGCTTTTTGCAGGAGTAAACAGCAATCTTTGCAATAACTACATTAATACTGTCCACTGTCTCTGTTTGGTTTTTTTTCTGCATTATACTTTATTTTTACAGTACAGTACTTAGTCTGTCTTGCTCCTACATGCTTTAAATACTTGCTTCTACAGTGATAATACCAAAATTAGAGGTTTTGCAATATCTTGGCTCTATAATAAATTAAGATTGAGCAATTGCTTTCAAAAGTCTTTAAAAAAGATCTTAAAATTAATGTCTTTAGGAATTGAAGTGGATGGGAAAAGGAAAGCTCTATATTTATCCTAGGGCCATGGATTCTCTTGCTTCAACTTTATTGATGAGACATTTCAGTTATTCTTATTGAATCAATATTAATGACAAATCAGTGCAATGAGCTTTACATTTTGTAAAGACAGACACTCTACACAGGCTCTTGAGTGGGTAGAAACAAATGCTTTTATTTGGCCTTTCAAACTGACAATATTAAAATATTTTAACTTCACAAAGGCATAAATTTTGAGCTCTTTAAGGTGTGTCAACAAAAAAAAATCCTCATAATTAGATATTTAGCAAACATGAGCAAAAGTATTTATGAAGACAAACAAACTTGACTGGCAACACACTATGTCTTAGTTATTACCTACATATATGGAGGGGACATTGCATTTAACTTCAGTACTTCTGTGTCTAGGAATAGATTTATGTCTTTGAAAATCTTGTGACTTGTAATTTTCTCCCTTGCAAGCTTTGGGGATGAAAAAAATAATGAAATAGCTATATGAAGGTACGAAATATTTTGGCTCCTTCTCAAAGTTTTTCTCGATGTATTAAATTATGCAAATTTTCAGACTCACATTCAAAGTTATGTGCTGAAAAGATCTTTCCCAATTTGTGAGCTAAAGATCTTTTTGATTGCTCAGCCAGACACACAGGATTTGAGCCGACAAACTGAAATGGAAGCAAAGTTGATAACTAGATTTTCATTAAAAACAACAGCAAATTCTTAAGAACCATAGGCAAAAAGAAACATGCATAATTCCTGGACAAACTAATATTCCTGAAAATACCTCAGAAAGATACCCCTCTAAAAGTTATTTAAAATTCAATTACTGTATTTTGTGCTATGGCATTTTCTTTTATTTTTATACAAGGGTCTTGAATCTGCTTCTTTGAGCATCCAAACCCATGAAGTTATTGAGCCTCAGTACATTACTCAGTAGAGTAAACATATAATCTATCCCTGGTTAGTGGACTGGAAAATGAGGGTTAGGGGAGCAAGGGAGTCGCCAGACAGCATAATAAAAAGAGTAACGAGAATCTTAATTTAATTCCTCCATTCTAGCAAGTTGAAAATACTTACATGCACAAATAAATACTGGTTAAGGTTTGTCTGAAGCCATTTCCTTATATTCTTTTCATAAGATTATTTCTTCTTCCTATGAGGAAACAAGGACAAAAGAAATAGATACATTCACAGAGTCTCTCACAGTAAATGCGTCTGAGATGGAAAATATTTTTAAGTTAGAGAAATAATCTAGAAAGAAAGCTCTTATCCTGTGGAGAATATTTGCAATCAAATTAGGAACACACTTCTCTACAAAGAATTCAGTAATTCTCTCCAACAGTATTGTTTATGTCTATGGTACCTACTCTTCTCATATGGAAATTAGTCCAAGATTTTGTTCAGAATTATTCTTTGACAGCCTACAGTATCAGGGATTACTAAAAAAGGTGAGAGAATTTGTGATGATTAACCATTCTGTTCAGTTATCAATTTGTAAAACTTGAAGCTGAGATTGCTTCTAAATAATTTTTGTCAACATGTTTATGCAATCAGAGAGTAATTACAAAGATTAGAAAGCATGATGCTTTCAGGTCCTGAAAAATACAGGTCCAGGGTTACCACTGATAAACAAATATGCTGAAATTTTGTTCAGCCTTTTAACAAAATATGGCAGATTATTTAAATACAGACCAGCTGTAGGAAAATATATGTATTTTTGTCTGGTTATGTTTAATAAAATTTTACTGAAATGTTAATATATGATTTCAAAAAGCACATTTTGACAAAATTTGGGGTTGGGGGGGAAATACTTTTAAGATGCAGCTATATATTGCAGCTATAATTTGCAGTATGGATCCATTTTTCCAGAATGGACTTTCCTTAATTCTCTGGGTTTTAACAAAAGGAAAGAGCCCATGATATTTGCCCATTGAATATCTTTAAAGTCACTGGATTTAATGTCAGAAAAAAAGGTGGATTGGGTCCTACCAGTTAGTTTTACTTCTGAAGCACTGCTCAAATTTATAGAAGATAAAAATCACTCATACAAGCTATAGGAACAATGCAGAGATATATTTGCTATTTTCTGTTTTATGAGTGACAAAGTATCCCTGAATGGCAAATACAAGAACTAAAATTATATTTCAACAAATCTACCTACATTGTCCAGAAATTATTGGTATCTTGAACAGATAAAAATGATTTGTGGTGTTACAATGATAAAAATAGTGTGCATTGTTAATGGCAATCAGCAAAGAAAGAAAATATTCAGACACATCAGTTTTTCCTTAGACAAAGTCTTAGGCTATGCTTAGTTTAATTATTTTGAGCTATGTGATCAATTAAGGTAGTGACTGCAGCACAGCACATCAACCCTCAGGAATTCTGTGCAGCCACCGAGAAAGTACAGGCTCTGCAGTGGATGGTAAAGGTTCCTTTGTGCTGAAGGTCCAGGGGAGGCTTGTCAGAGGCAGTTCTAAACATTCACTGTGCACACATACAAATTTTTCTAAACCTGTATTCAAAATAGTTTCACTGGTGCTGGATCACTTGTTAACAGTATTCACCTTTCTGTCTAATGAACGCTAATGCCAGGAGTCATTGTTACACAGAAGCATTTTACAACTGTGCTATCAATAATTGTGTAATCATGTAAGCATGAAAATGGAGAATGGGCTAGAAGATGGCAAGTTCCTGGGTACTGCAAATTTGATCAGTTCTGTGAAGTGGCTATGTAAAAAATATTCTCGCCTTCTCTTTATTAAACTGGTATTTAGTTTTACTTGTGGAATTAATTTACATCTTCAATCCAAAGGATTTATGTCTTTGTATTGTTTATAAACTACTAAGATACAGCCACCTACAGCTTGCTTGCTAAGTAAAGCAGGGGAAAATGATATATTCCTGCTATTGTTAGTATTTTTTTATTTTTTTCCCCAGTTATTAATAGTTTGCCTTATTTTCACAGCTTTAAAAAAAACCCCAAACTCTATCATTGCAGTCCTGGAAGGACATTTTATATACTAGATTAAGGTCTGACTCTGCTATTAAAATGTATTTTAAGTTGTACAAACTGACCCCTTGCTCCTTCCCTGTGATACTTCTCACAAGGAGAACAAAGAGGAAAAAAATATTGAGCATTTCTTACAAATGTGGCTGAGGAGATTCTTCGGGGAAAAAAAGAAAGTGTTATTTATTCTGCTTCCTACAAGGACAGTAATTTCCACGTGTCTATCTGTGATGGAGAAAAAAAGACTAAGGAAATATTGCATGTGCTTATGTCTATTAAAAGAACTTAATTCAAAGATGGCAAAAAGATAGGAATTGCTGGGATTCTAATAATGAAAAGGAATGTAGAGAGTTTGAGTTTATGGTGCCTGTTATACCTGGGTCATTTACTTGGCTGATGCACTTTGCACGCTACTAACACTAATCTACAGATGTTAACACACTGTAAACAAGGCTGGAGAAAGACCACGGGGCGACAAGTTTTTAAGCTTTTAATAGTAAAGCTTTGAAAACCATAAAATACTTCGATAAAAACAAAACAAACAAACGAACAAACAAACCCCATCCCCCAAACCAAAAACATACCCCAAAAATTTTTAAAAACTAACCCAAGGGGTTTGATTGTTTCTTTTTAACTCCAGCCCATGCTCCGTCGCTTCAGTGACTTCAGAGCGGAGGGCGAAGAGCAGGAGTCGCGGGCAGTTTGGATGATGCGATAGGTGAAGATTAACCCGCAGCGTCCTTCTTCACGCTGAGGAGAACCACAGGGAACTGAGCAGCCCAGCGAGCAGCAGCGCGGCAGAGCCGAGCCCCGCGCAGGATGCGGCCGCCGCTCCGCCCGCGCTGCGCCGCCGCGCCACTGGGGGGAGTCGGGGCGCTTCCGAACGAGCCGCGCCTGCGGTGGGAGCGGCCCCGCGGGCCGGGCCGGGGCAGGCACGGAACGGGACGGGGTGGGATGGGACGGGACGGCCGCGGCGCTGGCCGCCGTCCCTAGCAACGCCGGCGGGTGGTAGCGGCGGGAGGAGGCTCCGGTCCCGGCTCACCCGCGGGGGCCGCTCACCTGCCCGCGCCGCACCGCACCGCTCCCTCCCCGCACCCGTGGGCATTTGGCGGCAGAACGCCTGCCCGGCGCCCACCATGCACCGCCGCCGGTGTCGGGGTGTCGGCGGCAGCGGGTGGCGGAGCACAGCCCCCACCACGGCTACGGAAGGTCCGCCCACGCCTCGTCGGGTCCCGCTGTGCCGCGCTGTGCGGGGCCAGCGCTACCGCGCGTCGCCCGGGGCGTGGGTGCCGAGTCCCGCCGCGGGGGAACGCGGAGAGTTTGCTGTTTCGATGGAATTTCTCGGCACACTGTTTTGCGTGGCAGGCGGAAATTCGCCCACACGCTTGTCCCGCGCAATGCCTGTCGCAGCATCCGGCGATGAAATGGTTACCTTTAGCAGTACGGCTGCACAGGAACCAATCCGAGTTCTTAGTAATTCAATTAGTCAGGTTTCCAGAAGGTGGGGTTGGGTGTTGTATTTTTTTTTGGCATGGAGGAGGAGAAGCTCGGGACGACGCCTCCCTTCTCGTGTTGCAAGCCAATCAGGTCGACGTGTAAAAAAAAAAAAAAAAAAAAAAAAAAAGAGGAAAAAAATAGAGGAAAAAAAAAAAGGGTATCATAAGCAAACAGCAGGCTATGTCCTGACTGGCTGCGGCGGCAAATCCCCCCCTTTCCAAAGTAAACTGCGTGTAAAAATCCCACATGATCAAGCAGCAGCGCCCGTGTTTCGAGCTGGCTGCCTGCACCTCCTCCTCGTCTTCATCCCTCACGCACACGGCGCTAGCCAGATCGCACCCTTGCGTATGCATGTATGTATGCGTGCTCTGTGTGTGTGTGTCCGTGTGTGCGTGCGTACCTCGCTATACCGCGTATACATCTCTGAGGCTGCCTGTCGCACACACGCATGCACAGAGACAGCTCAGCACGCCAGGCTCCTAGCTTTTCCAGGTTGCTGATGTCGAATTTACACGCAGTGAAGGGACCGGTCATTGCAAAAGGGGGCGTGACTGTTTAAAGATTTTTTTCCTCCCATAAAGCTTTTTTTTTTTTTTTTTCAAAACCGACTTTTGCCCCTCCAATCCTCGTCGCTTTTTACGATCCCTCCCTGCCTGCCGCTGCATTCAAGTTTATTTATTTGCCTGCTGGCGTAGTATATTTTTCCTTGCTGCTCTTGCTGCTGCTTCAGAGGGAAAAGGGGAGCAGCTGTTGGGCAAGACCGAGAAGATCTGGGGTGGTTGGTTTTTTTTTGATCTTCCTATGTAGTCATCTGAGGGGTGGATTCTTTTACTTTCATCTCCTCCCTGATCCTTCAACCTATTTTGTCCTTCCGCAGAAGTTGATGTTCACGGGACTGGACCCTGCTTTATCTCAGAGAGGCTCCGGGAGGCTGAATCAGATTTCCGCACCTCGCCGTATCACTCCATTCGTTTCCCGAGCAGGAGAGGCCAGCCAAGACCAGCATCATCAGAGGAGTTTGCAGGCTTGATTTTGCACTTCTCCGAGATTTTGCTTTTCCCCACGCCCTCTCATAAAACATTTTTTTTAAAACGTTCATCTCCTTGGTTTCCACGCCGCTATATTTCTTGGATTGGCCGTTCTTTTTTTCCCTCCCCCCGCCTTTTTTTTTTTTTTTTTTTCTTCGCTGTTGCTCAGTCTTTGGTGCATCCACCGCCCAGGAACAGGAAGGACAAGAAAACCACTCCACAAAGTCTCCTTCAAGACACTCCGTGCTGCAGAACAGGCTTCTCAACTCCGTCAGCGCAGCGAGAAAACTCCTCAGGGCTTTTGCTTCTTCTCCCCCCCTTCCCCTCCCCCCACCTTTTTTCCCCCTTGTTTTTGTTGCTCATTTGAGGGGAGCGGAGGGCCAGAAAGGAAGACAAACTTTGTGCTTTGACATCTGCGGATACTTCTCCTCCCGTTACCAGCTGGCGGCCTTTAATATATTGCCAAGGCCCCCCGTGGGCTTCCAAGGGAAAGATCTCCTCCTCCTTCCCGCTCCTCTGCCTCGTCTCCCGCTCGTTCGCTCCTTCCATCCCCGCTCACTCCGGCCGTCAGCGCCGCTGGGGCCGCTCGCAGGGGGCGGAGGAAACACTGCTCTCGCCCGCCCGCCGCGCCGGCGGGCCGGTGTATGTCGTGCCGTGGGCTCCGTGCGGAATTCCCGGTGAATGAGAACCGCTCGCTGCTTGCCGCCGCCATCCGTCTCGGTCCCCACCAGCCCCTGCCGGGGTGAGGCTTCCTGAGGGGCCGCGGATCACCCTCCCCGCCTGCTGCTCGTCTGCGGCGCTAGGCGCCCTCCGCTCGTTGCGGCGCAGCACGCCGCGGAGCCCACCCCCTCCGCACTTACTTTTTATTTATTCGCCCCAGAACTCCCGCGCCCCGGCTCGGTTCTGCCTGCCTAATCCCCCGATCCCCCCCCCCCTCCTTCTTTCCCTTTTCTTTATTTTTCCCGCATCCCGCCTCGCCGCGCCGCCGGCCGGGCGCGATGCCGCACGTGGAGATGCTGCTGCTGGCGGCCGCGGCGCTGTGGGTGTGCGTGCGCGGGCAGGAGCCCGGCGCCAAGGCGGTGGCCGACCGCTACGCCGTGTACTGGAACAGCTCCAACCCCAGGTACGCGGGGCGGCCGCGGGCGCGCACCGGGTAGGGGATCGGCGGGCGGGCGCGCAGTGACGCTCCGGCGTCGGAGACATGTCGAGAGACCGACTGCAAGAACGAGACGAAAACTTCTTTTACGGAGGTTCAGGGCTGCAGCCAGCGACGGTGCGGCGGGTGGCGGGGGGGATTTTTTCCTCTCCTCTATCCCTTCTCTCTAAGGCTTCCCCGGGATCGGCGGCCGCCGGCCCGCAGGAGCCGGATGAATGCGCTCCCGGCAGGGGACGTGGGCGCCCCTGGCCGCGGGGCAGCCCATGTCTGTTGCCAACCCTGCTCCGGGAGCTCGGGAGTGATGAGGGGCACAGGTAGCGGTCCCCCGGGGGTGCCCTGAAGGTTTCCTTTGGCGGGCGTGGTGTCCGCCGGTAGCAGGGAGCCGGCCCTAGGCAGGGCTCTGCGTCCTCGGCAAGACCTCCGCGGCGCCCCGGGTGGGGTGGTTGTCAGGAGCGGCTTTGCGCGGCCGTGCCCTGCGCTGCCCGCCCGGCGGGGACTCATCCCCGCGGGCTGGAGGTGAGGGAGCGAGGTGGGCACGCGTCCCGGGCCGGGGTCTGCCCGGTACGCCGGACAGAGACGGCGCATTGTCGGAGTCCCCGCAGTCGGGGCCGAGTGGTGCTGGCGCAGTCAGCTCTCCTGGCGTCGGAGGGTTCCTAGCACCAGGCTCTGAGTGCAGTTCAGCTCTGGAAAGGGAGGTTTAATTTAATTGTTTTTGGCTTTTTTTTCTGGAGTTTTCCCTCATGTTTAGCATCAGAAAATTTCAGTCTTCCTCCATGTTTAGGTGGAAGGTCATCTGGGTGTTATAATATTTTTGCCTTGTCAATGTGCCCGTGGCAGGCTTACTTTTTTTTTTTTTTTTTTTTTTGGTAAACCTGTCAGGCTAGTCTAAGTAAATTTGAGGACGTTTATCTAATGTTATCTCTTTTTTATGCTTCTGATACTGCTGTTTGGCTTGAGATTAGCACATTGATTTTTGTCACAGGTCATGTTTTTTAATAGATCTCTGTTGCCTGCAGAAAACGCCACTGCTCGTTATTCCAGAGTAGGTTTAAAATAGGAGACGCAGAAGTTAACGGGCAGAATTTTCAAGTGCCCAGGGTTAGCTAGTCTGTCTTGCACTTCATTACTGTGCTCCCGATCTCAACCCCTCAGCAATAAATAATTAGCCCAAAAAACTTGAAACAGAAACAATCATGTTTGGGTATGATGAGCATCTGTGATTTGAAATGCCTTTCTTTACATTCTCCTCTTTCTACATGTGTTGCTTGAAAAAGAGTACTCAGAGTAAATAAGGTGAAAAGTTGCACCTCACATCACCCATCAGAGAACATATGTCCCCAAAAATTGTTTGCATCTAAAAATCAGAATTTTTGTTTCTGTTTTTATGCAAAATGAAATGTAATTGTTAGGGGAAAAAAAAAGGTTATATTCTTAAATCCCACTGGGCGAAAGGAAGATCATTGAAAGAAATAGGGGTGACGAAATGCATACATTGCTAGCATAACAGTTAAAATACTTCAAAATTAGCCTTAGATTCAAGATTTTTCACTTCTGTTATCTTATGTGTGATCATATTAACTGTAGGTAGGTAAAGATACTAGAAGGTACAAAGAATGCCCAGTCGATGGGCATTACACTGAATTATATATACAAGGATTCAAGTAAGTTAAATCATATATTACTACTATACTACTCTTATTAATCCAACATAAACATCAGCACACTGCAAAGAAAACTTAGTTTTGCTATTCTTCCAAACAGTAGAGGAAGAGTTAATTTAAAGATGTTTCTAAACCTTCTGTTTTAAAACCAAACATTTATTGTCTTAAAATATTGCTCTCTCACAACGGATGTATCTATATGGACATGCCATGTTTATTTGTGAGTTAAAAATATGAGAAAGAGCAGGGTGCAGATGCAACTCTCCTTTGTTTTATACAGTGTGCCAGTTCGTGTGTACTTTCTAAGTAACATGAGCATTACAGAAAAACAGGCAAACACCTGAATGGTAGGTGGAAGAGACACAAAGAAAAGAAAGCACTTATCTTTTGAATTTGTTTCATCTGAACCTGAGCTGAAGGCAAAATTGTCTTTGGATATCAAAATTCTTAGAGCATTTAACAATGTTGCAGGAATAAGTTTGCAGTGATTTATCTTCATCTAGAGGCAGACTCAGGAGATGAATGCATGTAGAAGTAAGTAGAGATGCTTACTTGGTGATATCTGTTTGAAATTAGAGGACAAAATATACTGTCATTCTATAAACACAAATACTACCATTGTGATTTAGCTTTCTTCTGTATTGTATTTATTCAGAATTAACAAACTGAATTTAGAACTAATACAACTAATTAATAGAACTAATTAATTCCTTTAAAATTGAAATATTGATCATCTTAATAATGATAAAGGCATTCTAAATTAAGATTTCATTTAAACTTTGAAGAATTTGGTAATGATTGTTCTTCCTTCAGTTTTGATGGTTTAATTTTTATAATTAGTAGACTCCAGCAACTTGCAGAAATATGTAAAGATTTCATTCTCATTGAAAGACACATTAGCAAATTGTTGAGTGACCCACCTGGTATGAACAATGTTTGGTAAATAAAAAATCATGAGAGTCTATTAGAAAAATTCATATTACATTCCTTGGTTAGTTGTCAAAGTTTCTGCTAAACAGAAAGTGTATGGTCATTATTGTCAGCATGTACAAGTAACAAAGTTTTTTAATTTTACAGAGTCAAAGTCAGTTCTTGGAAATATTTAAAGTATTGCCATGCTTTACTATTCTTTAATATTTAATTATCAGCATGCACCTTCTATAAATGTTGTAGTCCAATTCCAGGTGAAAACATGCTTAGGTATTAAAATTTTGAAATATAAATAAAATAACTTTTTTAATCCTTTTTTTGGATTGGAAATGAATCCTCAAGTAAGCTCAAAAATGTAATTTCTTTTATTTGCTTATTTATGTAGGCTTAGGATTATATGAACACAAATTCTAACTTCCACCTTAAAGTGCACTAGTCCTTCAGCACTCTTTGCATAGATGTTTTCTTATATGGGACTGCAAACTATTATCATCAGGGAATGCTATTCTGAATACAATGCTCAGTTTTGGAATGGAGCATATTCATTTAATGTTGATTGATAGTGTCCTTTTAATTAGAATTCAGACCAAATGTAGTGTACCAGGGCCAAATTTTGAAGCGGTCTACCAGCGTCATGCCTGCTACTGTTTCTAATCTTGTCACAGTTCAAGCTGAACTACTTGTTTTAATTGTTGCTACATTTTTCTGCTTGCCAGGATTATGCTTAAAGATTATGATTGCTATTTAGATATTTCCATGTAAGTTGTTTAAGTGTCACGTTATGTAGCTTCATAAATTGTTAGTTAGTTTCAGGATGGTTAAAAATACTTGAATTACAAGTCTAGTTTCTGGTCGTACATAGAGGCCATAGCTTCTAGTTTCACAAAAGCAAATATTTTTTATTAGGAGTATTACTGGATTTGGCTGCATTTTATAAAAGAAAATGGTACACCAAATCCATAGAATAATTATTGTAAAGACATAGGATGCTGATATATTTTCTCTTTGTGTATTTATGTGGATAAAATCAGGAAATCAGATGGTAAATAGAGAATTTGGGTATGGAAAAATAATTTCAACTTCAGCTGGTGATTGCACATAATTAAAGAGGATACCACAATTTGGTCAGCGTAGGTAGAGGTTGTTTTTTTTTAGATACATATCTGGGGACAAATGAATGGATACTTCTAACAATTCTATGCATAGACCAGAATTTCACAACCTGAATTTCTCAGCCTATGTGGATTTTGTAGCTGTTAATTTAGGAACTGTTTCAGAAAAGCATTTTGTTTCTTTGAACTCAGTCCTTACACACCTAAGTTCTGCTGCAGTTGTGTGGATGGATAGATGTGTGCTTAAGTGCCTCCCTGGGCCCGCCAAATTCGCAGATTTTGTTTTGAGAAGCTCTGGATGTGTCAGCTCACACACACTTGGCACTTGGAGCACACTCATGGGCTGGGATGTATGTCTGAGTGTTTTGCAATCTGTTACATGTTTGTGGATTTCACCATAGCATATTAGTTGTAGGTCATGTTCATGTGCATAGCATGTGCTGAGGTCATGTGGCTGGTTTTTTGCTTGGTTTGTCTTTTTTTTTTTTTTTTTAAATATATATAGATATAGTTCTGCACAGAGTTGAGGGAAGCCATGCAGAAATGGCTGGAATAGGAAGAAAGCAGTTACGCATTAGGAAAACTTTAAGTTGTGGATGAAGAAGGGTAAAGTCAAAGTGTTTACTTTAATGTTGGTATTTTGTATAAATTTCATATGTCAGAGGAAGCATGGGAGCCTAAGTACTTGGGGTATACATATACATCCTTGTAAATATATTATACATATATATAAACCTATTTTGAAATAGCATAGCTTGCATTTTGACAGCATTTTATCCAGCAGCTTGCTCTGAGAGCTGAAGAAATCTCTGACTGGTTCCTTGTAATTAAAAGATCAGTAGTAGAGCTGTCAATTCGTTACACCTACTTTCTCTGCTTTTAATGGTTTCATTAACACCTTGTGTCTCCAAAAGAACGTTGGTGCTTATTTTAAAAGTGGGTGTTTGAAACAGTTTGAAACCTTCTATGGAAAAACTGCACAAAGAACAATAGTTTCTCTGGCCTCCACCCTTGTATGAAAGGCACCTTGTTAAGTGGTACCTGATCTTCATGAAATGCTTCTTATGAAATCTTTTTTGTGTGTGTGTAGTCAGGACACTTCATTGCATTTTTTCTTCTAGCCCTATATGCTTTTTGAGAGGGGCAGATAAAGATGAGCCTTCCTTTCTCTCCCCTGTTGCTATGATCTCAGCAATCTACCAGCTTCATGCTGGGCTGAAAACATGAATGAATGCAATTAGTCCTTCAGGATTATTACGTTCAT